GCTATCAAAAGAATATTGAAAATCAGAAACAAATATATCTAAAATTTAAAGTATAGCTACTAAAGATAGCGGAAATCCAAAAAGAAGTCAATATTAAAGATAAAATTATTGATCACTTAATAATGTTATTTGTTTTTAAGCCTTATAATCCTGATAATGAATTAAGTACTATGCTTATTTCTTGAATTAGTCTTATTCAATGACCAGCTGATCATAGTATTAATATCCTAGAGATTTATATTTTTGATTTAATTAACATAAATCCTAACTCAATCATAAATATTAAAAAAGTTTTCCTTCATATAAAATCAATATCAGGTATTAAGAATGGAACTCGTAAATAGATAATCATAACATATTATAGTGTTCTATACTATCATACTACTAAGTTAAAAGAAAAATTTTTTTGGTTAATTCTTATATTATGATAATTACATGAGGAGATGAACATGCTTCGAGCATACGTAGAATTAAATTGGTAATTTTTTTGATTAAAATAACATAATTTTTATTAATAAATTATTTTTATTAATAAATAGGAAAATAGATTTAAAACAATTTGCAATGTATCAAGGTTATTGGACAGAAAATCAGCTTTTTTATTTCAAAAGTGCATAGATTATTATAAGTCTTAATATTCAATTTGTAACATATATTGTCAAGTGATAACTATAGAACTTATATGATCATATGTAAAAATCCATTTTAATTCTTCAATTAAAGGATATTTTGCTTGAGTAAAAGAAGAAGAAGATCTAATTTATCAAATAAAATATGAACAGATATTTATTTATCTTCAAGAAATCATCAATTATCAGAAGATTGTAAGAACCAATAACACTCTCCTAAAAAAAGCTGCTAAGAGATAATTTTTTCTGGTTTGGTTTGCAAAATATTATCCTATCTATCACTTGATAGAAGTTGCTGATAAAGTTCAATTGATACAATTTCATCCAGAAGTATGCGAGATCATAGAAAAATATAGTGTCATATTCAGATTAGGAATTTATGAATAGTATTAAAGGTTGGATGCAATCATAAAAGAAGTGAATAAAATGTTAAAGACTTTAATATTACTTATTCTGCAATATTACCATTGGAAAATTGCAAAAAATTCTTTGAAGCTAATTTTATATTATTTACTACTTGACTATTTTTACAGAGTTTTAATATATTTTAGCTCAAAAACAACTTATTTAAGTCAATTAGATATAATAATTCTTCAACATCAGGATCAAGAACTCAACCAGAATTAACTATAGAATGTCAAATATTTTGAATTTATTTAAGAAGCCACAGATTTGTTAAGAACTCTTTGCCAAAGCCTAGAAAATAAATATGAATTAAATGAACAATTAAAAAATTTCATTCATTTAACAAAACAAGCATAACAAAATTATATTATTAAAACATTTATTAATAAAAATTCTTCTTTATTTAAGCGAATTCTGATTACAAAGAAAGAAGCAAATGCACAAAAAAATAAAGAAAATATGACTAAAGTAGAGATCTTATCAAAGATAGAAATTCTTTTTGAATAACTGTCTGAAATCGCTTGAAAAAAGTATTTTGGATTTAAATTAAAGAAGCAAAATGAATTATTAAGTATTTTACAAGAAACCAAATCCTTATTTAATTTAGATAGTGAATTTAATAATCAAGATAGCTTAGAAAGTTCATAATAAATCTGCAAAATAAGTTTATTTATTTTTATTATAAATAAAATATACATTTTTACAAGTTTTTAATTTTTCATATTGCTAGTTTTATTATAAGAAAGAATCTTCTATTTAAAAATCTCACTAAACCTTTTACATATAAAATTTAAAATATACTTGTGTTTCTATATATGTGTAAACAATTTTAGGTTTAATTTAAAGCTGAAATACAATATGGGTTGTGATCTAAGAAAATCAAGTTCTGAGAATTTTTTATCAAATTTGAGATTTTAATTGCATTTTAATTTTTATTACATTTAAACCAAAATGTAATAAGACATTAATTTTAGTCAAAAATTTCTCAGAATCTGATTTTCTTAGATCACAACCTATATTGTTTAACTTTATTCAAATCTAAAACAACAACTCCGTTTTGATTTTTTTTTTAAGTTTTTAATATTATCATCCAATTAAGGTTTGTGAAACATCAAAAGAAAAATCTAGAATAATCTGATCGGCGTTCTTTACCTAATAAGGTGCGATCGTCGATGATCCAAATTTGGTATAATCCCTGACTGAAATAACTATAATATGTATATACTATATATACTATATATACTAAATCAAATTCATTTATTAATTCAACTTTTTGCATTTAAGCTATGATTATTAATTTATAATATTTCATAAAAGAAATGTACCAAACGGTATCTTATTGTAAATGCTAGACAGCTTGCTAGAATTTGTACAATCATGACAAATATAGCTAATGTTTGTTCATGTAAAGGACCAAATCTTAGTAACAATAAGTTCAATAATGTAAAGTTATTAATTTCAAGGCTATTCTCTCCAACTTCATTTATTTCAGCAAGACCTAATAACATAAATATTTTGAGCACAAGAAGCGATAATGGTTTTAAGGGCTTTTGTATTTTAACTTTACTATATTCTAACTTTAATGTCAATGGATTAAACCTTAAGCGTTAAAATAGAAAGAAGGAAAATAACAAGAATTTAGAATATATCTCAAATGATTTTTTAACATGATAGTTAAATACATACCTAGGTAATCGATGCCGTGGACAATCTATTAATCTAAATAGTTGTGGACAAGAATATATAAAATTGAATATCTGTGGGATAAAAAATAGAAGCATAGTTTTGCTAAAATGGGCAAGTATTCCAACCACGGCAAAAGTCATTCCAGCGAAATAACAATACGTGTCACCAACAAAAACGCGTGACGGGTACCAATTATGAATCATAAGTCCAAGAGAAACACCAATAAACGGCAAGATAAAATACAAAGAAAACAAATGTGCTTCCACAGCCGGATCGGCATCATTCAAGAAGAGAAGATCGTTGATTGCTATAGAACACGCAATTATCAAGGATTGGCCTATTTCCACTCCATTTATTCCAGCAAGAATATTAATAGAATTTGTACAAAATATTGCAATCATACCCATATAAATATAATACAAAAATCCTAAAATAATAACGTGATTAGATGGTAAATCAAAAAATATACGAGCACGAAGATTCGTTTACCCTTACCTAAATCCATAATTCTTCCAAAAATAAAGCGTAGAGGTATCGGTACCACTATGTGAGTTACACCAAAATTCACGTAATATACCATCAATATGGGTATAGATGCGATAGCTGGCAACAAAAGTTTATACCTCCATCTTATATCAAAAACATCGTCGGCAAACCCAAGAAAAGTCATTGATTGAAGAGATAACATCGCCGACAAAAACTCACCCAACTAATGAAAACAAATCATTAATATTAAGAAAGGTAAGAGTCATAAGAATGGCTAGAATTACATACTTTATGATGCGGGAATGTTGGAACGTGAAATTCTTCACTTCGAGAAATTATACCTTTACCCGTAAACCAATCCATGAACGGAAACGGTATAAATAAAAATAGACATATAAGATAAACTGTTGCACATATAACTCCCATACTTTCGGGTCTAATAAACGAATGATTATGGTTAATTGTGAAAAATTATTTTGTGTATAAATTGTTATATTACCCACAATGTTGGTTTATTGACTTTAGCCAAGTCCCGGCCAGTCAACTTTGCTTTGACGAAGCCATCTTTAAATGCAGATACAAGTTCCCATGTTATGGCGCCACCTAATATAGCAAACCCTGCAGAAGCTGATAACGGATGAGTTGTATTGAATATTATTGTTAATGCAAGGACTATGAATGTTAATGAAGTTAGCATTTTAAAAGGAAAAGGTATCGTTTAAGATTATAAACTGAGTTTATAGATGTATTAGTTACCGCATAACACAGCATAAAATGACTATTAAAGGAAATATTATCAAATCTCATTCTAAGTATAATTACTATTAAAAAAATTCATCTATATCAATGCAATCTTTTATGTTATGTTATATAAATTTTCATATCATTTTAAATTACAAAAAAAAAAAAATTAAAAAGTATATATATAAAAATCAAAAATATATATTACTTTTTATATATTTACAATATTAAAATCTGATTTATGATTGATCATAAGTAAAATTTCTAATTTCATAAGATACGTAGCTTAATATCATAAATACAATAGCAAAAAAATATATATCGCATAATGCACTCCATATCAGTACTTTCAGAACAAACCATTAATTATTCAGAGAATAAATTTATTAATTTTTTTAACTTCCTAAGTTGCTATAGCATATTTTTTTATACATCCGCATAAAATACACGAGTTAAAAATCCAAGCTCTGGATCAGACAAATTTTATTAAATTCTAGCCGTCCGCCAACTTTTGCATACTTTCAAGATTAAAAGTAACATTTCTATTGTAATTTGACCAGAATTGAGAAAGGATGACTATGTCCCGATTGTATTCATTTATTTCCTGTATAATAAATGGATTAATCATAAAGCAAGGACAGATTATACGTTAAGATTTTATAACTAACTTGGATTCGGCTATTCATATCTTCCAACACATCATTAAGTTTTTCCTTTTTATAGTATACAAATTAAATTTATAAGTCAATTGGTTAAAACTTTCGCATAAGGGATATAAATACTTACGACGTTTTTAACAATTCTAACTAATAACATTCTTTGTTGTTCTTCATGAGGGTTTTCCATTTTTAAAAAGCGACAGATGATAAGATTCAGCTGAACGCGTTATAGTTACCATATCGTTCAAGTTTCACAAACTGTCATCTGCATTTGTGCAACTAAATTATCTAAGCCACCCAAAAAAATTTAATTATAAATACACGGAAAAAATGCCCGTTTGTTATTTTTTTTTTTCTTTCCATCTTAACGTGGAACAATTCTGTATACCGAAGTATGGACGAAATGAAGAGAACGTATCACACTTCACAGGATTTCCGAAATAGAAGTCGGGAAATTATCTCTGAATCCAAGTACGATTAATATTATTAATATTTTTAAATTTATTGATATATTAATAATTAATATTAATTGAATATGTTTTTTAAAAATTGCTAAGGATATTTGAGCATGGAAAACCTTCCAATCATACATTTGAGAATGATATTCCCTCGGATGCTTCTCACATTCAGAAGTTTGAAAATTCTCGTATTACTTCCCCAAATATCAAAGTTGAGGATGTTATTAAAATTGAAAAATCTGATGTTTCTCTAGATACACAAATGGATATCGATGAAATCTTTCCAGCGGATGTATGTTATTCAATTTCGATTATAATTAATTATAACAATTTTTTTTTTAACAATAACAGGTATCTACATTAAAAAATTTTTGACAGTCTAAAGGAGACGATATGATGAATATTGATACTGTTTCTCCACCATCTAATCAACAAACCATTCCAAATGAGCACGAGGTTTAAAATTATTACATATATATGCTTTTTTTTCATTTACGGATTAATTTAATTCGTTAAATTTATAGCTCAATACGGATAAATTGTTTTCCGAAGAATTACAAGATAGAATTCATGTAAATATAATGTTCTTAATTGATTATTTATAATATTTAAGTGATCTTCATTGTATTCATTGTGTCATAGGCATTACGTCTATTTACAAAATTACTTCCATATATGAGTGATGCAAAAAAAAAAAATTTATACGATCCTCTTAGTAAATTATTATATAATGAGTATGATAAAGATGTTAAGGTAAGTAAATTTTATTAAATGTTTACTATTATTAAAAATATCTTTAATTATTTTTTTTTCATTTGTTAATAGATTCTTGTAATAATACTTTTGGGTAAATTGGCCCTTGATCCAATCGTTAATTGTGGCATAGTACTTGAGGATTTATTGAATCAAGTATTTAATTAAATTTTTTTTTAAAATCATAAATATATATTATGCATATTTAATTTATTAATAAATTATAGATGCAATCAAATTCTACCGAATTGAAATGCAAAATATATGTCACAATTATTAGTATTTTACAGGTACATAACGTATTATCATATTACATTCTGTATTTAAGTTGAAATTTAACTTTATTTCATTTAAAGGCGAGGATTGAACATGTCCTGCAAATGCCAAAATTAAACAACACTTTAAAATCTCTGTGTGAGCGGGTGATTAACGAACTAACCGATTCACATTACAGTATTAGATCATCTTGCATTAGTTTGCTCGCATCAATAGCACCTATTATTATTCGTGTTAAGTTTACGCAGGAACGTAATAAAGAGCAAGAGTATCTTAATGAGTCACAAATTCAAACTATAATTCGTGACTTTGGAGTTGATCCCGATCCACGTGTCCGAAGTGTAAATATTATTATCAATTTATTATTTTGATCTCTTTTTTATTTTTAATCTTATATTTCTTTATAATAGAATGCTCTCAGAGCGCTTCTTCAGCTAAATAAATATGGCTATAAACTTGATATGTCATTGTATAAATTATGTGTTGCATGCTTGACAGATGACTACGAAGAAGTTCGAATAGAGGCTTTAAGCTTGATTTGGTAACATTTCTTTGTAAGAATGTTTTAGTAGTTAGTAATATTTTGTTAATCCATCCCAATGTTTTTAGGGTATTAAGTAGCATTCATCATGAAAGAATTTTAAATGATGGGAGCACACGCCTTATCGATGATGCATTTATTAAAATTTGTGAAATGGTATGCGATGAATCTGTAAAGGTTCGAAGTAAGGTAAAATAAAATATCGGCAATAATCCAATATAATCAAGTTAGAAATTGGGGAATTAACATTCAGTATTGAAAATAATGGTTCTTTACAGAATTTGCTCAATCAAGTTGGGCTCTTATTTCAAACAGGCGTGTAATATAATGGGACGTTATAAACTCGTTGAAGACTCTATTTTACTATCAACTTTGAGTCAACAAGTTATATCACACGGAAAACCCCGTAAACCAATGTTTAAAAAAGTAGGTTTTGATTTTATTTTTATAAAAATCCGGTAATATATGATAAAAAAAATAAATTGCCTAACATGTTTTAACTTTTTTCGATAAACAAGTCTAGGTATATTCCAACTCCCGAGGGTGATATCGATGTCGAATCAGCCGAAGTTCGACTTTTGAAATCAAGTTCAAGTGGAGCATTTATTCATGGATTAGAAGATGCGTTTCAAGACGTTCGTAATGCTACGATAGGTATTCATATTTAGATTTATTATTCTTTTATCAATATATTTTGAATTTAAATTTTAAATTTTTATTATAGATTCTATTTGTGAATTAAGCATGCATAATCAAAAATTTTCGAAAAGGGCCGTTGAATTTCTTGTAGGTAAATATTCGTAAATTTTTTATTAAATTACGTTTTATTTCGATATAAAGTGCTTAAATATTTATGCTAAAAACATCTTTACTTAGACATGTTCCAAGATGAAATTGATTATGTACGGCTGAATTCAATTATCAGTCTTCGCAAAATTGGTACTCTTCAGCCTATCGAATTAGATTCCGAATTGTTGCAAATTACACTTAGTGTACTTAATGATGCAGACCCTATTGTACGAGAATCAGCGCATGGAATGTTGGGGTAATTAATTAAATTATCTATTTTGAAATTTATATTAGTTTATGCCAAGGTCTTTAATAGTTTTTCCTTCCTTAATTAAGTGTTGTACGGATTACCTCACCGGAATTAATACCGTCATTCATTAAAGATTTAATGGCAAGTATGTCCCGGTATCCGGAAGATCAGTTGTCAATTTATCAATGTTTCCGAGAATTTGGTTCTGTTCATGGGGAATATATAGGTAAGACTATTTTACATATAATTAAATTTAAATATGTTTTACGCTTTTATTGTAATTATCATTTCGTTTCGAACTTTATAATGTGGTTATCGATTCTTCACAATTAGAAAAGTTTATTCCTAAATTTTTCAAGATGGAATCAAGTTATATTTCAAAGGAAATTAACCAAAATGCCCCTGAACGTATGTTGAATATTAAAGTAACTTCATGACGGAAAAATTTTGGTTATAGAATGCTAAAAATTTATTTAATTTTTTTTTTAGATATCGGGAATTTAATACTTGCATTTAATGCTTCGGTCTCAAATCCAAAGATATTATCCATTTTACCTAAATATGCGTTTAGACATTACGAGTATCTTAGAGACAAATTTCCCAATTGTTTTCCAGAAGTGAAGGTACTGTAATGGTTCTTAGTTTCTTTTACTTCAAATAATAGATTTTTGTTATATATATAAAACTATATATTGTTTAGATTCCGGGCGATGCACCACGGCAAAGTATTCGGGTCAATGCAGATGGTAGGAGTTGTTTTATTGTAATTATTTATTTATATCAGCAAATATTTAGCTATGTGAAAAATTGATAGATAATACCCAGACATTTATGAATCAAACCATAAAGATGGTATTTTCTATGGGCAACTTTTTCAAAACTGGAGATTTCAAGGCTGCATTGCGCGTTATAAAAGTTTGTACAAAGTACGTTAAATAGGCTTAACATTTATAACTTCTTTTATCTTATTTTAGTATCTTATTGATTATGATTCATTTCCTAGTAACTTAAAATATATATCACGTGTACCATCGCTTTCTGGTAATGCGATATTTATTATTATGTATTTAGATTGTGTACAAACGATAATACAGGTATATATATTCATTTCAGGTAATGAAGTTTAAAAATGAAAATATTTACAAATATTATGACAATTTCAGGCTAAACAGAGTTATTTGGAAGCAAGCTCCTTTACAACTGCACAAGATACAGCAGCCCGATTATTAGCATTTTCTTATATTATGGAACACAGATTTATCGGACTTACTGTTCCATCAAAAACTTTTGTTGTCTATTTGAGAGTGCTAGCAAATATTGCATGGATATTTAGTTGCTTAACAGAAGCTAATAATAGGTTGGTTAATTTTTTTGAATTTAATTTTTAAAAAAATTATGTATATATTTACTATTTTCTATAGTCAAGTGTTATCATTGTTAAGTAAGAAGGGCCTGTTAAAATTCTTTATTAAGCGAGTGTCAGATTTGCAAAGGTATGATATAAATTATATATCATTTTTTGAATAGAGAATTGTAATTATTGAATTCAAATTTTATTTTCTTAGAAAATTTGAACGCGACTCTTTTCTCTTAAAAGACCTGGGAAAACTCCAAATAAAGTTAGATAAAGCCAGCTTAACTCCTACAATTGAAAATGTAATATCATTGTTTGATTATATAATGGTAAATAAATTTCTAACACATATATTTGCATAGAAGTATTCTAGTTATTTACCTTAATAAAAAATATATTAATTTTAATATAATTTAGGACTACAATCTTATTGATATTGAATTAAGTGATGATATTAAAAGATCTGAAGCCTCTATCATTAGACCAGTTTCAAATCCGGATCAGCCACGTGAATTTCCATCAGAGTTTCCTTTCACAATCGTCATTGAAGCCGAATTACGGAATGTGGTAGATGAAACTTCTATGGCAGTTCAGGTCAACGAGTTTATAATCTTATGGTTTCAATCTTAAAAAAACTTTAATTATAATTATTTTTACTATAGGTCATATTTCCCGATCAGACAATTGAACATTTTAGACCACCATCGGCAGATTTCGTTCATGCCGAACCGGATAAACTTCAATTGAGAACGCAAATTGACATTTCTCAACCCGCATGGTCCGGTAATATTAAATATTAAATTACATTCATAATATTTAATTTTATAATTTAAAAACATGCTTAATTCTTCATTATTATTATATACAACAGAGTCATGTTATATTCAACTTAAAATAGTTCGTGATTTTGAACCAGACATTCCTGAATTGGATCAACATATAATGCGTCAAAGTGTTAATAATGGAAATATAACTGGTAGTATCTCTGAAAATACCATAGATCTTTCAGAACCAGTCAAATATTACATATGGCCAAGAGATTCATCACCAAAACGAATGCGTTAAATATTTTTAAATATTTTTTAGAATTTGTTAGAGACCCTTTAATATTGAGTAAGACATATTTCGTTTTGCTAAGTTATGTCTTGTACAAGTTATGGTTATGTAATAATTATTGGTCATGAAGTTTATTTTTTTTTTTTAATTTTATCATGTGTTTTTTAGATTATATATGTTATCAACATTAAATAAAGATGTTATTTATTACATAGACAAATTTTTATTACAGTATAACTAATAAAATTTTTAGTCATCTAACAAATCAAAATACAAAGTTGATTCTCTGTAACTATCGATTACATGCCACGTTTTTCTCTATAGTAAGAATAACATGTTATATCACATCCAATGATATATGAATTCTGTAATTCTAACCAAAAATCATGTAAATGAATTTTTTGTATTGGATTACAAATATAGAAGTATTACCAATAAAATCACATTATAAATCATGATTTAATATATCTCATAACTAAATTTTACTAATAATATTATTATATTCTTAACTTACATATATATTAATATCAAATTATAATATTTATTTAAAAATTATTACAAAAAAAATTAAGTAACTAGAAATCCCATTTCAAAAATTGTATACTAATTAATGATAATATTCATAACGTATAAATTAAAAATTTAGAAACTTTTAAAATATTTTTTTTAAATCTAAAACTTGATTAAACTTATTGAGTTTAGAAAAACCTACACAAATAACATCAGATATTACCGTTAAATTGATTATATATATTAATATTAAAAAGATATTTAGCTAAACAAAAATCATCAAATTTCCAAAGTATACACTTTGATTTTTTTTTAGATCATACATAATAATAATACATAAATCACTCTCCAAAAATTAAATAATTAATATTAGAAATTGAATTATTAAAACATCACATAAATAAGATAATAAAAGAAGTAGATATTCTCATCTCTTCTAATATTATTCAAGTTAATTAATTAATTTTGTAATAAGTATATTGTATAGCACTGCATACAGTATTCTTCAGGAATAGTATCCTCTTAAATAGTATTAGGATATTATTTAACTTTAAATTCTAATATTTTTGAAAAATACTCTGATACTAATCAAAATCTGATTTTGAAAAGTATTCCTAGTATTAATCAAGATTTGATTTTGAATAGTATCTTGGTACTAATCAAAAGATAACAAATATATATTTTATTTATAACTTTATTTATAAAAATCAGTTTAAATAAATAAATAAAGGTTAAACTTCATAAAAATCAATTAAATTTTATTATCAAATCATAAATTATAACACAATATAAGCTACTTGTTATTCATCTCATACATTAACTTAATTTGTTTCTTGTTTATAGTAATTATTAAATTCCTTATCATATCTATTCTTTTCCTCTTCATATTCATCTTCTTCATTTTCTTCATACTTATCATCATCATCATCCTCTTCACACTCATAATCCTTATCACTTTCATTTCTTCATCATTTAATTTATTTACTTGCCTAAAACAAACATAATTAATAATCCAATCATCTTCAGTTTTATCACATTTATTTGAGATGTCATAACATTTAAAAGATTGCCTAATCAAATTAACATTAATTACATTTTATGAATCTTTAATTCATTTTACTATAGTTTTATAAGAAAGCCTTTTGAATTTATTAGTTGATATTAACTTTTTTATGGTTTTTACCATCTATTTATTATAGTTTTGTCACATCTATAGGAATGAAAATAATAAAATATTTAATAATTTTTTTTAAATAGAATCATGTTAGAAATTAGAGAAGTAAAAGAAAATCAGTAGTAATGAAGATAATCAAAAAGTAATAGTATAAGGTTTTTTATAAATAAAGTATTTTAATCAAAAATTATTAATTATTTTTTTGGTTTTCTTCAATCTTTGACTAATTAATTACTTAATAAACTAATTACCTTTGTTTTAAATAATTTATTTATCAAAATATCTAAGGACTATAGACAAGATGTAAATTTTTCAGGAATAACTGCAATATTAGTTTTTTTTCAAAATGCTTTTTAATATAATTAATAATATACACAGAAAATAATTCTAAAACTAATAATGACTATAAGTTAGAAAATCTTTCACACCTAGTCCAAATATTTTCAATCTAATAAAGCATTTCATTTTCTTTAATCCATCCTGTTAGATTTGTTCGAATAATAACTTTTGAAGAAAAATTTTCTTTTGGAATATTTTTGAGTTTAAAAATTAGGCAGAACAAAATATTTTTTTTGGTTTTCATATTTCAGCCAAATTGATGGAATGAAGTTCAGAGATTTTTTTTAAAAAATAATTAATCAATAATAATGCTCTACACAATTCATATAACTGATAAATCTACTAAATAAAACTTAAATTTATAGTTTAAATAGTTTAATCTAAAATTTATAGTCAATCATTTTTATATATTGAATTAATATTTAGGTTGATTCTTTTATATTCAGAAGTTTTTATTATTCATTTACATTTACTATTTAACATAAAGAAATTTAGAATTTAAGTTTTTTCTTATCTTTACCATTCTGTTTTCACATTGGATATTTCTTTGAAACAGTGGTGTGATTTCCACAGCATTGCAATGTGGTGTTCGCCTTTTTTCAGTTTACTAATATTTAAACTTCTGCATTCAATGCAAATATTCAGGTAGATTCCAGCTGAGTAGTATGGTTTTTCGACTTGTAATGTACACGACCATGAATTATTAACAAAAACTCTTGAAAATAGTTCATGAACTATATCTTCTGCATTATTACTAGTCTCTGCTTTTACATTATCAGACCTTACACCTTCATCTTTGACTTCGCCTTCTGAGTCTTCAGATTTGTACTCTTCATTTTTATTTTTTATCATATTGTTATACGAGTCGATTACGAAGTCTACCGACTGAAAAATAGACTTCAACACGTATAGCAAGGTTTTAGGTAT